GAAAAGAGGAGTTTCCGCTGTCTTCCAGAATGTGAACCAGCTCTCACCAGCCATGATGTCTTCAAGGACGTCGTATGCTGTGCTCAGTGAAAAATCCAAAACAGAGTCATAGGCTCACTGCAAAATACAGAATCACAATACACATTAGCTCGAAACATAATTAATTATAACAATACGACCCAAAAGTGTCCCACATGCGCAAAAGAGGACACAACGATGTCACAGCCAGCGTGCTCAGTGTTTATGGAAGTAAACATGGATGGTAACGGTGGAGCGTATCTGCCACTCCCCCAGAAGTAAACTAGCATCAGCAGCCAAGTACTGCCTGTGCGTTCTGGACACTTCCCCTCCATCAGAGCGCACACAAAAGTTTGTCAGGCCTTTAAAACTGTACGTAACTCTCTCCCTCCATGTATCTACCACTATTACATGGTTTTACCCTTAGCACACACACATGGTTACACACACACATTTCTGATAGATGCTTCACCGTTTAACCCTTACTCATGATGAGCTTATCGTTAGCTTAGCATCTGATCACTTGTTTAGTAACTGCAAAGAGCACAGTTTGGCAATTACAGGCTACATGCCGGTAGAAAGAGGAACCACTTCAGCAATAAATTCATCCTGTGGTCAGTGGCCTCAGAAGACATGTTCAGACACAACCCAGTCTCACTGTAATGCATAAAATAGTCATGAAATTATATCGATTGTTTCGTGTCCTGGGACACGATTTGCCGACTTTTTCGTGTTCCCCAGCACGAATTTCAAACCAATACATTTCAGTTGGAATGATCTTTTGTGTCAGGGACACGTTTTCCCATCAGACAGTGCACATACTGGGATGTTCTGGTCGTTCTTTTCTTCCCACAGTCAGGTGTTAACCAGTTTTCCTGTCATGGTCCGTCCACACTAATAACTACAGAGATCACTATACAGATGTGTGGCCCACACTGACCAACGTTAACATTCTGGAAACACCGGCACTGAGCAGCTACCGTGTGCTCCAGCTGCTATAAGCTCCGTATTCATTCATAGAAAAGACAAGAAATATATCCAGGCAGAGAGAAGCTGCTCTGAGATCGTTCTGAAAGTGATTCCAGCGTATCGTTCACAGCAATTATCGGTTATTTGTGATGAATAGAAGTGCTTTCACTGTGTTTGGGCTACATGCTCGTCTTAACTTTCATTTCTCTGTAAATGAATACAACTCTGAAAAGAAGGACACATGCAGGAAAACCTCCTCCTCCAATCCTTAATATGCTTATAAAAAATAAAAGAAAGTAATTTTAGGATCAAGAATGGAGTACCATTTATATATATATATATATATATATAT